CTTCCAACACTATGTTGAATAGGAGTGGTCAGAGAGCGCATCCCTGTCCTGTGCCAGTTTTCAAAGGGAATGCTTCCAATTTTTGCCCATTCAGTGTGATATTGGCTGTGGGTCTGTCATAAATAGCTCTTATTATTTTGAGGTATGTCCCATCAATACCTAGTTTACTGAGAGTTTTTAGCATGAAGAGCTGTTGAACTTTGTCGAAGGCCTTTTCTGCATCTATTGAGATAATCATGTGGTTTTTGTCTTTGGTTTTGTTTACATGATGGACTACATTTATTGATTTGCATATGTTGAATCAGTCTTGCATCCCAGGGATGAAGCCAACTTGATCTTGGTGGATAAGCTTTTTGATGTGCTGCTGGATTTGGTTTTCCAGAATTTTATTGAGGATTTTTGCATCGATGTTCATCAGGGATATAATCTCCTGGTGTGCCATTTGCTAAAACCATTGGAAAAGCACAGTATTAGGGTGGGAGTGTCCCGATTTTCCAGGTACCATCTGTCATGGCTTCCCTTGGCTAGGAAAGGGAATTCCCCAACCCCTTGTGCTTCCCAGGTAAGATGATGCGCACCCCCCGCTTCGGCTCACACTCCATGGGGTGCACCCACTGTCCGACAAGCCCCAGTGAGATGAACCTGGTACCTCAGTTGGAAATGCAGAAATCACTCGTCTTCTGCGTCACTCACACTGGGAGCTGTAGACTGGAGCTGCTCCTATTCGGCCGTCTTGGAACCTCCTCCCATGTTTGGTTTTAAAGGTGGGCCCATGGTTTATAAAATATGAAGCAATTAAATGAAAGCAAAAAAAGAAAATACTTTCATAAACAAAGCAACTTCCTCCATAGCCTCTGTTCTTTTTACCACTCAGTGGGGTAAAATGTCCAATAAAATGTAAAATGCAGCATATGTGATCATGTAATCTAAAAGCTTTTCATGATTACTTATTGCAAATTGCACTTGACAGTTCACCACAACAATGGAAAACTGACCCCTGGTTGGTTCACACAGTCCTTGAGCCCCAAATTGAAGTCACCAATAAAATGATCTTGATAAAAAGTTTGCAACTGTGCTCAGCCAGCTAGTTCCACCCACTGGGTGTGAGCTGACCCAGGACACCACTTTGTCCTGTTCCTTTGTGGGACTCTCGTCTTCAGAGAGGTAGTCAGGTAGCTCTGTGTTCTGTTCTACCACAGGAAGGTCTTGGAATGGGACCAGCATCTCTTCTCCACTTTCACTTTTCACAACTTACTGATCTTTCGTAAACTTGGTTGATGCTTTCACCGATGCTAAAGCCTCAGCTTTCAAATCTGAATGGATTCTCACCACACCTTTGACAGCCATTTGAAAAGTAAAGCTAATAACACCTTTAATTTTTAACAAAGCCTCTTCACATAGATTTCTCCAAGACGTATCATCAAGGCCATCTGTATGCAAAACCACTGTTTTGGCACATTTGTTTGTAGTTCCCAGAAAACAACTGAGCTTCCCTTCGACATGAATTCATTTCATTGACACTATCACCATCTGCCTTATTGGAGGACTGATGTATGTCATAGATTTCAGAGGCCAGAAGTTTTGTTCCTCCTAGAGTTACAGTTTTCTGTATGACATTTTGTAGGCTCAACATCATACCCAGTTCTCCTTTCATCTTTTCTCTGTTTGCACGGCATTCTCCCAAGTATGGAAGAGCAAGCAAAGCCAAATGGATGACTGGAGGGTTGGGGTGGTCCATAAATAAAACAAGGCCAGGTAGATATCCCTGATCCTGGATGACGGCTCTTCTGTTTAATGGGTCTGCTGCTATATCCCATAACTAGTTAACTACCGATAGAGCATCAGACTCTTCCACTTATGGTGAAGGTGGAAGAATTCATCTTCTATGCCACGCTCAAGAATAAAATCTTAAATTCGATCCAGAGCTTTAGGAGTCCAGAGCCTGCTGCACCATCAGGGCCACACCTACAGATGAGGTAGAAACCCAGAGGGCGCAAGCCCCTCGGTTGACAGCCACAGCCTCGGGGATCGCAAACAACCAGACTAACTCAGGGAGCTAAAGAGCAAGGCGCTCTTTGGTGGTGGGGAACGGAGATGCTTGTTTTCACGTGTTCAATGAGTCACTGCTGTTTGAGCACCATTTTTTTTTTTTTTTTTTTTTGATACAGAGTCTCACTCTATCATATAAGCTAGAGTGCAGTGGCGCGATCTCGGCTCACTGAAGCCTCCATCTCCCAGGGCCAGTTGATTCTCCTGCCTCTGCCTCCCGAGTAGCAGGGATTACAGGCGTGTGCCACCATGCTCCACTAATTTTTGTATTTTTAGTATAGACGGGGTTTCTCCGTGTTGGCCAGGCTGGTTTCAAACTCCTGACTTCAAATGATCCGCCTGCCTCGGCCTCCCAAAGTGCTGCGATTATAGGCGTGAGCTACTGTGCCCAGTCAAGCACCTTTGTTTTTGAGAATGCCAGTTCTATGGCTTTGCTACTCTATCCTACCCAAGGTTATTGTGGAAGAATGGTGAGACACGGTATCTAGTGAGATGTATTGGTAGAGTCTCTTCTGTGAAGGTGAATTCCTCATTCTCCTGATCTTGGTAACTACCAAGGAGACCGCTCTACCGTTGCATAGCCAGGACACACAGTGACTTTATTTGTACGTCCAGTGCGCACAGTGACCTCATAATGTGGGCACATATCGTTATTGACCCATTCTCAGAAAAAGCAAGGGTCCAGAAAGAGGCAAGCACCCCAGCTGTGCCACCTAGTAGATAGTACCTGGTGATTGCCCCAAGGCTGCTTCCCTCCTGCTCTCTGTTAACTGTGAGAGAGAGGACTGGCAGATAGCTCAGCTTGCCCAGGAGACCTTTCCCTCATGGTGTATCACTTTGAATCTCTCTCTTTCCCATTTTTCAGAAATGCTTCAGTATTTCCCATCCTGTGATAATAATTCATTCTTGTTTTTGATTTGATGATATGAAGGAGACACTAATTGCAACATGAACAAAAGAAATTAGCTTAGAAAGATTCCCAAGCAATTGATTTTGCTCATCACTCTGTCTCTATCAGTTCATCGACTTTTCATGAAAATAACACATAATTTGAATTTCAGTTGGAAATTCAAAATAGCACCAAAAGGTATCCACAGTAAAGTAAGTCTTCTTCTCAGCCCAGTTCCTGAATCCCACTCCCTGTAGATAAACACCATCGACCATTTCTTACACACTCTTCCAGAAATGTTCCATGTAAATATATGTCTATAGACATTATTAATACCTTCCTTTTAACTTAATCATATATCTTGAAGATCTGTCCATATCAGCACATGTAGATACACTAAATTATTTCTAATGATGATATAACAATTTATTATATGACCACATCAAAATTTGTTTAGTCAGTCTCCTGTTGATGGACATATGGCTGTTTCCTGGTTTTTGTTTTTCAGATCTCTCTGTGTAGAGGTGAAAATAAAATCAGAGGACAAATTGCTACATTTGCTAGCAGGCCTTGCAAGATTGGCATGTTTTAAATTTTAATAATATTGTCCAATTGCATTTCAAAGAGGGTGTACTAATTTTTACAGCACCTACATTGCATATGTACCTGTATCCTTACATCCTTAGCCACTATGAATTTCCATGTTTTATAACTATTGCCACTATGATAGGCAAAACAATGTTTCATGGGCTGAATTTGTATTTCTTAATTATGAATGAGATTGAGATTTTTTAATATGCATAAAAATATATTTTTCTTTCTGAATTCCTCTTTCATACATATCCTTTGCCTATTTTGTGAGGCCATTTATATTTTTCTTATTGGCCTATACTAATGTTTTATACATATCTAGAGAGGACATAGTACATATAGAGTGCAGATGTGGTAAAAATTCATACAACCTCTCTAGAATGCAGTTGGAGATGAAGATGCATGTGTACAAAGTACAGGGATTTTTGTTTTGTTTTGTTTTTTGAGATCCAGTCTCGCCCTGTCGCCCAGGCTAGAATGTAATGGTATGATCTTGGCTCACTGCAACCTCTGCATCCCGGGTTCAAGGGATTCTCCTGCCTCAGCCTCCCAAGTAGCTGCGAATACAGGTGCACGCCACCACACCAGCTAATTTTTTGTATTTTTGGTAGAGACGGGGTTTCCCCATGTTGGCCAGGCTGGTCTTGAACTCCTGACCTCATGATCCACCTGCCTCAGCCTCCCAAAGTGCTAGGATTACAGGCATGAGCCGCTGCATCCGGCCCAGGTTTTTTTTTTTTAATTTTGCCTTTTGCCTTTAATTACTGTAGTTTTCCGTGAAAGAAATTTAATATTTTATAGTAAAATGTATTCCTCTACCTCTATTGCTAATATCTGCTTAGATTTTTTTTCTTACTTAGGAAAATATTACCCACTCCAAGATTACTTTAAATTTTTTTCATGATGCCTTATAAAATTTTTTAGTTTTGCATTTTATCTTTAAAGCTTTGGTAGAAATTCAAAATAGCAAATCTAGAATGTACTTTAATGCAAGGAGGGAGACACAGAACTATTTTTTTTCTAAATGGCTGAAAACGTCTCAATGCCATCTATTAAATAATCCATCTTTCTTCACTGATTTAAAATGCCACCTTTATCGTATACTGGATTCCCTGAAGTGTTTGGACCTACTTAAGATTCTATTCTGTTCCATTGATCTGCCTGCCTATGCAGATATTTTAGAAATGAATGCATTTATGTAGCTATAATTTAGCCTCTGTGGGTCTACTTCCAGGCTTCAGTTATTTGCATTCTACAGTATGTTTATTTGTCATTGTGTACCTCGGTTTTGACTTCCTCAAGGGTAAAGATTATGGATTCTCTTCCCTCTGTAATTCCCTAAAACATGAGTCTCTGCCAAGTTTGGCATTTTGAAAACTGAAATCAAGCCATGTCCTTAGGCAGAACCAGTGGTAGTCTGAGTGGTTTCAGTGACTGAAGCCCCTGCTCAAAATATTCAACCTCTAAATGTAATATATAAAACACTATGACAGCTTATTCCTTTCATTAAAGGGATGCTCCTTTAAACACTAATATTGTGCATGGTGCTGAGAATACGTTCATCATAATTTCTCCCTGGTCTAAGTTTTAGTAGAAAGGCAACATGAACTAACATTTAAGATCCATGAAATCTGTTAAGAATAGCACATATTCCATCTCATTTAATATCACAAATAGCCTACAAAATTGGTGTTATTAATCTCACTTTACAAAGAAGGAAACAGGCTTAGAAAAGTAAGTTAATTTGCCAACTTAGTTAGTGGCAAACCCTGGATTCAAACCAAAGCCTGTTTGATGCCAAATATCATGTTCTTCTTACTCTCCTATGCCGCCTCCCAGAGACAGAGATCCTCAAACAATTATGGAAAATAGTTTTCACTTCTCGTCCCAGCCCTGCAGTGCCTCCCTTGATCACTGAATGGAGAATAATTTCTAGCTACAACCATGCTTAGCAGGAAACAGGACCATGATAAATGATTGACATCTGCCACAGAAGTAAAAGGCAGCAGTGGCCATACAGGACACTGTATTTGTCATTATTGTGCTACAACACAACATAGGAGACCAAAGGAACATTTTCCCAACTTCACAGTTAAGTTTAGGAACAACCCTAAAAATCAGTTGATCGATAAAATTTCACTCCCTATATAAAGCCTAAGAAGCCAACGTTAAAAATAAATTTTGAGAAATATGGTAAATAAAAGAGAGATTTATATGTGGTATCCAAAGTATACCAGTCCTGCCAACTTGACATGCTAAATATTCAGCCTCTTTTTGTAATAATCAACTTGGCTCTAGTAGTCATAGGAAGGCACTACTTCAAACCAGTTTTCCCCAGGCAGAAGAGAGAGAAGAAACTCTATTCCATTCTAGAGCTATGTATCAAATCAAGTACCTGAACTTTCAATCAAGCTCTACCCAGATCAACTAGTTCTAAGAACTGGGCCCCTGGGTTTGTGTGATACTCAATAGTTCCGCATCTGGCCTCTCTAGAGTAGCCACTGAGTGGCCACCCAACTCCTATTCCTCCTTCCTCTCCCTTAGGGATCTGCAAATTTATCTAAGTTTTCTGCCCACTTCCCAAACTTCATATGGCTCAGGTAAGATTAGCCCCACTCCAGCCCCTCAGAGTCCACGTATAATCCCATGCCCTTTGTCAGTAACTGGATTAGCAATGGGACTAATTGCTATTTGCCATTAGCAATATGATTGGATTCAGAGTCCTGAATTGTGGTAGAGGTCTGCTCTAAGCATAAAAAAAGTTCTGCCTTGCTCCTCTGGAACAGCACCAGGAACAACCCTTACTTTTCATCTGGCCAGTCTTCTTTGCTGATATAAGATCCAGAACTGCTGCAGCACATTCCCACAAGCCATCATTCAGAGAAGGGCAGAGCCAAAAGGATCACAGGGAATTGAACCTGTAGCCATCGTGGACTCAGCCATGATGCCCACAATAGCACTGAACTTGCAGTTACTGAAGCAGTAAACAAGTTTAAATTGTAAGCTATTACTGGCCTCCAAATGTTTCCTAACTGACCTCACTCATACACCTCCACTATGAATCTCTGAGGCAGTCACTCTCTAAACTCTAGACAAGGATTGCCAAAGTATTTACCTACTTAAAGGACACTGTAGGAGTTAAGAGGATAGGCTCAAACCCTGCCCCTGCCACTTATTTTCTGTGTGATCTTGGCAAGTTATCTAAACTCTCCAAGCATGTTCCTTCACCTGTAAACTGGGGATAATCGTCACATCTAAAGGTTGTGAGGATTGAGGCAACTCATGCCTAGGGCTTAAAATCCAGCCTGGCATGTAAATACTGTCCTGATTATGTATACTTTTGTCAATATCTATGCCTGATTTTCCTCTCCCAACAGTGACCCAAATTCCACACTTCCTGTGTTTATTTGGATTTCACAATCTTCAATTCTGAATCTAATCCATGTGTCTGTCTAGCCACTGCACCACAGTGATTCCAAGTTCGGACCCTTTTCAAATATAACCATAGTCATTGACATTTTCCCATC